CATGGTCAGGCACACAGTAGGTACTCTGCAGAGCTGCGTGTGAATGACTCCAAGTCACAGGGAACAGGGAGTAGCAGGGAGGTAGAGGTTTAATGCAACAGGTTTTGGGAAACTGAGGACCAAAGAGGAAGCCTGGGCCCCTGAAGGCAGGGGTTCAGGGCAGGGATGAGATAGGAGGTAGAAGGCTGAACCATGGATTGAGGTGTCCTGTTCCCCCACTTGAGTCTGCCTACGCACCCGCCCTCGGGCTGGGCCTTCCTGGAGACACTGAGGGAAAGGGAGAGGATGGGGAGGGGGCCATGGGGATGCCCAACTGGCACAGCGGGTTTAGCTGGTCCCTGCTTTTGGCAGAAGACAGCACCAGGGAGAGGTGAGGATGGTGCTGGGACAATCTATGACCTTGGAGTTGGGGGAGGGGTGGCTTCTTGATCATCTGTCTCACCTGCAAAACAGCCCCCCCCCAAATGCTATCCCTACATATGAAACAGACTGTGCCTGTCCCTTCCATGGCACATAGGAACCACCCTCTTCCCTCAGGCAGGGATCCAAACCCCAGTCCTCCTCCCTCAGTTCCAGGGGTCTCTCCAGTCCTCCCCCATACCCAAAAGTCCTCTCCAGTCCTCCCCCATACCCAAAAGTCCTCTCCAGTCCTCCCCCTCCAACCCAGCCATCCAGACCCCACACTTCTTCCTTCAGACCCAGGAGTCCAGACTCCAGCCTCCACTTTCAGACCCAGGGGTCCAAGCCACAGCCCTGCTCCCTCGCACCAGACCCAGGCCCCATTCTCGGGCTCCCACACTCAACCCCAGTGCACCTGTGGGCATTCTCACCTCATCTGCTCTCTGCCCACCTGTCCATCTCCACCTCTTTCCTCTGTAGCCAGGCAGCCTGATGGAACCCAGGTGCTCAAGTTCTGAACATCCCTCCCAGCGTCACCAGCCCAGGGCCAGACCATCTCTCCCCAGTGTGACAGGCATTGGGCCCCCACGTGGCCTTGAGCCTTGCCTAGTAATGCACCGTGAGGCCTGGCTGGGTGCAGGCAGCAGCATCCCCCCAGGCAGTTCCTCAGTGGAGCAATCCGGGTGGAGAGCTGGTAAAGTTTCTGTCACCCCGCCCACCCCAAGATGGATAGGATGATTAGTGGGGGAGGCAGGATGATGGGGCGGGCAGAGCCTGCTTTGAGGTATCAACTGCCCGCCTCTCACCTCACCCAGTTGGAGGTCTTCATTTCCTTCCCAAAAAGACCCTCAGTGGTCCTGGAGACAGTAAGTCCCACCGCTCCCATAACCTGCCCTTTTCCCACCCGGTTCACATTTAGTACCATTTTCATGTGTCTGGGTCCTGGGGCTCCTGGTCCTCTGCATCCTGTCCATCAGATCCAGGAGCCCAGACTCATTCCTGCCCTGTCCCATCCCCACCCCATTCAGGTTCCTCCTTCCTGACTCAGGACTAGGGCCCCAGCCGCACCCTCTGGGGAGCCCTGCCTCTCACAGCCCGAGTTCTTCTAGTATTTGTGACAATTAAGAGCTTTTAATGGAAAGGCTGGGCTCTGAAGGTGACAATGGCCTGATTCTTTGGATATGTGACCTCATGACCCAGTGACCTCCCTCTCCCACGTGTGAGCTCCAATAGCAAAATGATACATTGCAGCCCTGGGGGAGGGGACCAGTGGAACAGCCAGAAGAGGCCAGGAAATGACACGGGGTGGCCAGGCCAGGGTTGCCCATCCCCACAGTGCCCAGGGACAGATGCATCTTCAGATGTCTCTACCCAGGACCCAGGACTATCTCTCTCCTCCAGGATCCCCTCTGTGGCTGGAAGGTTACCCCCAGCACTTCTCCAGCCTTGGCTCCACTAGGCCTTTCTTCTCAGGTCTCAGTCGTGCTGCTGAGCCTTCGAGTCCTCAGTTTCCCCTTTACAGGCTGGTGTTCCCACACACTGATGCCATCTACAGCATGAACATTGCACACACTTGTACAAGCATCTGCTACCCACCCATCCATCCATTCACCCATCCACCAACCATCTACTTATCCATCCATCTCCAACAGCTTGTGTGTGTGTGTGTGTGTGTGTGTGTGTGTGTGTGTGTGTGTTCATGTGTGTGAATGTGGAGACCAGAAGTTGACCCCAGCTGCCATTATCCAGAAGCTTTTGTTTGGAATCAGTGTTTCTCACTGTGACCTGGAGCTTACACATTAGGTTAGGCTGGCTGGCCAGCAAGTTCAGAAGAATCTTCTGATCTTCACCTCCCTGGCATTGGGGCTACAGCACTGCCACACTTGGCTTGGGTTCTGGGAGTCAAACTCAGGTCTTCATGCTTGCCCAGCAAAAGCATTTTGTAGCGGGCATGGTGGTACATGAGTTGTATATAAATGGATAGATGGATGGATGGAAGGGCAAGTGGATCATTGGATGGATAGATGGATGGAAGAATGGTAGATGGATGGCTGAGTGGGTGGATGCCTGTGTGGATGGGTGGTTGAACTGATAAATCAAAAGATCAATGGATAAATAAATGGGTTGGTGGATTGATGGTTGAATGGATAAATGATTGAATGGATGAGTGGAAAGATGGACTGGCGGATGGATAGATGTTTGTGAGTGGATGAGTGGATGGATGGGTGGATGAATTATTTGTGTATGTGCAGTGAATGTAGAGGTGGATGTGTGGTGGGCAAATAAGAGATGGGCATTGGGATGGGATGATGTATAAGTGGGTAGGTGAATGGATGGATTGGTTGGTGCATGGATCCATTGGTGAATGGATGGATGGTCAAATGGATAAATGAATGGCAGATAGATGGGCAAATGGATGGATGGATGGATGATTGGATGAATGGGTGGGTTTATCAATGAATAAATAATTGGATAGAGTGGCTTGATAGGTGGATGGATAATTGGATGAATGGACAGATGGATAGATGAATGGATGGATATATGGGTGGGTGATGGAGGAGTCAATAGATGAGTAGGTAGATGGAGGGGTGGATGTGTGCATGAGTGATTGCATAGGTGGGTGGGTGGATGGATGGATGAGTTGGTGGATGGACAGTAGATGAGAGGATGAATTCATTGATGGACACTGGGTGGATGAATGGTTAAGGGCTTGATGGGTAGATGGCTGGATAGCTGGATGAACAGGCACATGAGCAGATGGATGCATCAAAGGTAGATGGATGGGTGGGTGGATGAATGAATGAATTGGTGGATGGATGGATCAGTGAGTGGATGGATGGATAGACAGGTGGATGAATACATCAAGCGTAGATGGGTGGATAGCTAGATGGGTATATTACATACAGGAATATGGTGGATGGATGGTGAGTGGATGGATGTATGGATGGGTGGGTGGATTTGGTTCATTGATAAATAAATGGATGGACTGATCTGTCAATGGGAAAGTGGATGGATGAGCATATCAGTGGATGGTATATAAATGAATGGATACTTGGATGAATGGATAGGTAAGTGGGTGATGGGTGGGTAGGTGGACTCATGGATGGATGCACAGATGGGTGGATTAGTGGATAGATGGATGTATAGGTGTGTGAATATGTGGATGGATAGATGGATAGATGGGTAGTTGGATTGGAGTATGAATAGATTGACGAGTAGATGGATATGTGGGTAGAGGGTAGATGGGTAGGTGTGGTGGGGGTGAATACATGAATGACTGGGTCAGTATGTAGACAAATGAATGATGCACGGATCAGTGGTAGATAGAAGGGTAGAAGGGTGACCAGTGGATGTGGGCAGATTTGTGGATGATGAATAAATAATTAGATGGATGTGTTAGTCAGCTTTTCATTACTATAACAAAATACCAGAGGCAAGCTCTTTTAGAAAGAAAGAGGTTGATTTTGGCCTTCCAGATCTGGAAGAACCAGGACCAGACTTACACATTCAGGTTCATGCCTGTATCTCTCGCAGCATCTCTCACTGGGCAAGCATTTGGAGTTCTTTGTCCTGTTGATATCTGATGTCTCCCTTTCCTAAAGCCACCTGGATGTGCTTGGGGGCTCCACCTTGGTGACCTAATCTCACCTAATCACTTCCCAAAGGCCCCACCTCTACACATCACGGTTGGATTAAGTTTCCACTCTCCTAATACCGGCAACAAAAGACTTCAGGAACTGAACTCTTCCAGAGAATAAACCGTAGCACTGAGGCAGATGGCTGGCTGGGAGGATGTTCAAGTGGGCTTTGCTTCACCTACAGCTCCAGCTGGCATGGTAACCCTGGCTCTGCCACTGCCTATACCCTCGGTGCCCTCGCTGTGTCCCAGGTGCCAGGATGCCCACCATCTCTGTGCTATAAGTGGCCTCCATCATGTCTCTGATCCTAATCCCCTTGTCCTGCTCTGACTGCATCTCTCCATCTCTGTGTCTCTCATCTCTCTCTCTTACTTGGCCCAGAAAATATAAACTGTCCTTCCCCAGCAAGTTCAATGCTTAGCACAGCACTAGGCTGATAGGAGGTGCTCAGCAAACAGTTCTTTAAAAGTGAATGAGTGATAGGCGGGGTGTGGTGGCGCACTCCTTTAATCACAGCACTTGGGAGGCAGAGGCAGGGGGATCTCTGTGAGTTCAAGGCTAGCCTGGTCTACATAGCCAGGCCAGCTGGGGCTACAGGGAGACCCCATCTCAAAAAAGGTTCTTAAAAAAAGAATGAATGAATGCACGAACTGAAGAACGAGGGAAGGAAAGAAAGAAGGAAAGCAGGCAGGCAAGAGCTGCTGGCCTGAGGCAGGCAGGCCGGGCTGCCGTGGCCACTTGGGATACAGCCGAAAGTTCCCGAAGCTGGCCCTGGACTCTGGCCTTGAGGAGCCTCCGCCCTCGCCTTGGGAGGGCACCGGCCTCTCCCTCTCTGCTGCCGCAGGCGGGAGGCGTGGGCAGCATCTGGGAGAACCGGCTGCGCCCCTCCCCTGGGCCGGCCAGGTAGGCACCTGGCACTGGCAGGCACGGCAGACGCTGCGCACCTGGCCGCGACACCCGGCTTGCTCCTGCCCTGCCCGCCATGGACGGGCCACAGCCCCCGGCCCTGTGGGGCATATTCGAGAACAGCGTCACCGAGATCAGGTGAGGCCAGGGCCTGGGGAGGGTGAAGCCACCGTGGGGACAAGCCCTTGCCAGGGAGGGACCCTCTCTGGGCTTGGTCATCAACTGGGATTGCCCTCCTGTGCTTCAGTTGCTCTGTCACCGGGATCCACAGCCTTTGCTCAGGTGGGGTTGAGGCACCTAGAGATGGCTAAGGTGGCTGCACCCCACATCTGCTAAGGACCCCAAGAGCACTCACTTCTCATGTGCTGACTCCTTCTGGGGGAGAAGGGAACATAGGATGCTTGGAAGTGAAAATGTGCCTGGGAGAGCTGAGAGAGTTTAGGACAGACTTCTCACTCACACAGGGACTGCGCATGGTTCCTCTGTTCCTGGGGATGAGTCAGAAAGCACCCGCTTACTAGATGGGGAAACTGAGGCTGGGAGGGAAAGTGACCTGACCATAGAGCCTGTTGCTTCTCCCTCCCCTTGTGGCACTGGTGGGCCTCCTCCACACCTTTCCCCTGGACTCCACTTTGTAGCTGAGCAAACAGAAGCCGGGAGAAGACATACAGCTCCCCTGAGGTCACACAGTGAGCTGCCACGCTTATCACCAACCCTGATAGCTTATGCTTTTACCAGGTGGATTATTCTGCCCTCCTGGGACTCTCTGACTGCCCTGGACTGTGAGGAGGGGAGAGCTGAGCCTTTTTCCCACCAGACTGCTTCACTCCAATATAGTACTATTCTAAGTCCTCCTTTCTCTCCCTCATCCAAAAGTCAGGGTGTGGAGAGGCCTTGAGGAGCCCAGACTCCAAGAACTCAGGATTCTACTTGAATCCTGTGTGCTGTGTGATCTAGACAAGTTTCATAGCATCTCTGGGCCACTCAGCCTTGCCCTGGTTCCCACTTTCTCTTGTGCTCCCCACAGCCCATCAGTCCCTAAGCCTAGCTCCTGTCCCAGTCTCTTTTCTAATGGCTTCATCCTCTTCTGCTGGAGCCTCACCCTGGCCTTCCTGCCTCCAGTGAGTCCTAGAGCTGCCTCTCCCATCTTTCCAGCCATCCAGCAGGGTCCCTCAAGTTGGGGTACGCTGGCCCCACCCCAACCCCAGCACTCTCCTCCTCTCCTGCATTCCATTCACCCCACAGACTTCAGTTTCCCTGGCCACACCCCAGTCTTTCCTGCCCCGGTGCCTTTGCACATCTGGCTCCTTTCTTGGTAGAGACACTCAGAAAGGTTAATTTCTAAACCCCAAGTCTGTCTCCACCTCTGTCCTCTGTTCCAGTACCTTCCATTGCTCCCTAGCACCCAGAACAATGATCTCTAAAACTGTTTGAAGGCTCAGATTTATTTCATTCGAGAGTAATTTCTCAAGCAGAAATACATAATAGAAATCGGGACAGACTGGTCTGTCCATGTGGGAGCAGGTCTGGATCTCCTTCATCTGCTTCCCCCACCCCAACTCTTCTCTTTGTGCAATTTGAGCCCCTTGTGGCTTCCCTTATCTCACAGCCGACTTTGTCCCACATCTTTCTTCCTCCCTTGCCCATCTCTGGCCCCTGCTCTTTCCTGGTCCCTGGTGACCTCTGTCCTCTCTTTTTGGCCAAACTGCTTCTCAGGCTTGAAGATGAAATTTCAAATTTCAAACCTCAGCTGTTTAGGATTCTTGGCCGGGAGTGGGAGGGACAGGCACAGGACACTAAGATCGCTGTAGTTTATCTTCAGATCCTCATCCCAGGTACCACAATGGCCTGTCCACAGACAGGTGTAGGAAACTCACAAGAACAACAGCCAGGCATGAATGAATGGAGTGGTGAGATTAGGAAACCTTTGCTCTTGGGGTGAGTCAGGGCTACAGGAGGAACTAGGCGTGCTGGGTGGGAAAGCATCATAAGCACCCCAATGGGGCAAAGGGCAGCACCCCATCTTACCACACCTCAGCGGCCACAAATGATTCCGATTTAGCCTCTACAACAAGAACAGATGAGCCATGACCTGTTCTAGATTATAGGCCATGTGACACAGACTATCCAGGATTTTATTTGGACTAAAAGACTCTCAGCCATGTGCAGTATTTGGAATGTTCTAGATAATTGGGTTGGTTATACAGCATCCCTTATATAGCTGTGCCCTGAGCATCCTTATGCTGATCTGGCAGACTGCAAAGGGCAGACTAAGGTTCAGTGGTTCAGTGGTGTTTCTCTAGTATGTGTAAGACCCTGGTTTCCAGCTGGGCATGGTGGCGCATGCCTTTAGTCCCAGCACTTGGGAGGCAGAAGCAGGCGGATCTTTGTGAGTTCAAGGCCAGCCTGGTCTACATAGTGAGTTCCAGGACAGCTGGGGTTACAGGGAGACCCTGTCTCAAAAAGACAAAAAAAAAAAAAAACAACCCTGGTTTCCATCTCAAGCACCCAAAAAATTAAAACTGAGAGGAAAATGAAAGTTGTAAGAGGAGACACTGGGGGAGTCTCTCAGTCAAAGCCCTGACTTCCATCCCCAGTGCTGCATAAACCAGGAGTGATGGCACACACCTGTGATACCAGCACTCAGGAAGGTCCAGGCAGGAAGATCAGAAGTTCAAGGTCATCCTTATCTATACAATGAGTTTGAGGCCTGACTAAGCTACGTGAGACCCTGTCTTTAAAACACATAAAAGGTTGTAAGAAGAGAGAGAGGCAGGAGGCGGGCAGGACAGGTGGCAAGGAACCCAGGTTTTAATTCACAGGCTGTGTATTGTCTAAGTTAATCCTCCTGATGACCTGCCTGGCTGAGAGGAACACAGATGAATGACTAGGTATCAACACCCACTGAAGACTCAAGGCTCAGAGAAGTCAAATGTATTGCCCAAAGTCACACAGTTGATTATGGTGTGAAGCCGAGATTTGAACCACAGAAATGGGGTTCTCTCACATATGAGGAAAGTGGGAGAGAGTGGGACCTGGAAGGGATGTAGCTTTGCCCAACGGGGAGGCCTGGTGAGGACTCTTCTGGGAGTTTCCCATGTCCCCTTGCCTACACCTTACCAGAGGGTCAAAGAAACAAAGAAGCACTTGGCTTTTGTTCTTGCATATGGAGAACTCCTCACTTCAGGTAATCTTGGAGTTCCCTGCTGGACACTTTTTTTTCCTGGTGCTGGGTATTGAACATTGGGCCTGACACATACTACACAAGTATGCTACCCCTGAGCCACACCCCAGCCCCTCACTGGGGGATTCTAGGCAGGGTCTACCACTGAGCCACACCCCAGCCCTTCTGGGGGTTCTAGGCAGGGGCTCTACCACTGAGCCATCCCCCAGCCCCTCACTGGGGGCTTCTAGGCAGGGTCTCTACCACTGAGCCATCCCCCAGCCCCTCACTGGGGGCTTCTAGGCAGGGTCTCTACCACTGAGCCATCCCCCAGCCCCTCACTGGGGGCTTCTAGGCAGGGTCTCTACCACTGAGCCATCCCCCAGCCCCTCACTGGGGGCTTCTAGGCAGGGTCTCTACCACTGAGCCATCCCCCAGCCCCTCACTGGGGGCTTCTAGGCAGGGTCTCTACCACTGAGCCATCCCCCAGCCCCTCACTGGGGGCTTCTAGGCAGGGTCTCTACCACTGAGCCATCCCCCAGCCCCTCACTGGGGGCTTCTAGGCAGGGTCTCTACCACTGAGCCATCCCCCAGCCCCTCACTGGGGGATTCTAGGCAGGAGCTCCACCACTGAGCCACACCCCAGCCCCTCACTGGGGATCCTAAGCAGGGGCTCTACCACTGAGCCATACTCCAGCCCCTCACTGGGGGATTCTAGGCAGGTGCTCCACCACTGAGCCACTCCCCAGCCCCTCACTGGGGGATTCTAGGCAGGGGCTTTATCATTGAGTCACACTGCATCACTCTTTTTACTTTATAAATTTTTATTACATTTATTTCTTTATTTTTAAGTGTGTGTGGATTTGTGAGTGTCACAACACGTGTGGAGATCAGAGGATAACTTTGTGGAGTCGGTTCTTTCCTTCTACCATATGCATCTAAGGATAGAACTCAGGTTTGGCAGCAACTGTCTTTACTCACTACCTCTCCAGCCCTCTTTTTACCATTTATTTTCAGATATAATCTTGCTACTTTCCCAGGCTGGTCTTGAACTTGGGCTCCAACTACATCAACCTCTTTAGTAGCTAGGATGACAGACCTTTCAGGAAGTTCACAATCTCTGGTTTTACAGCTCAAACACCGGGGAGATTTCACAGTTTTGTTAACATGAAGTTGGGTTTTCTGCACAGAGTTACTAGAAAGGTTTTAAACAATAACTACAGGGCACTCTTGCCTGGCTAGGGCTGGAGAGGGCACAGAGGAGGCCACTCGGTCAGAAACATGAGATGCTGTCAGTCCTTGGATATCATAGGTAGTTCCCTCCCCCATACCTGATGGTCCCTCAGCAATACCAGCAAGGCAGAAGCCAGGTAGCTAAACCTCCCCCATTTCCCTTTGAAAATCACAGGGCAGCCCAATGCGTGGCCTTGGGGTTACTCAGAGAGGGAATGTAAGACCCAGAAGCTGTTAGTGGTGGACTGAGGCAAGAGGGGAGGCTGAGATGAGCAGAAAGGCCTGGGTTCTACCCTAGGAGGGGACCAGGGCCCAAGGGCCAAAGAAGTAGAGATCATGCCACCTGAGCTCAGGAGCCATCTGCCCTGCTGCTCACTCATAGAGCCCCAGGGAGAGGAGCTGCGGTGTGTATGAGATGGTTGAGACCCAGAGAGGCTGGTGCCCCACACAGCAGGTGGGTGTAAGCTGAGGAGGTAGTGTACCGAGGGGTGGATCATTTGTTGGTTTTGGGTTTTTGAGACAGCCTAGCTCTGTAGCCCAGGCTGGCTTTGAACTCATAGCAACCCTCCTGCCATGGCCTCCTAAATGCTGGGAGATAACAGGAGTAAGTTCTAACGCTTAGCTGTTTGGTTTTTTTTGTCGTTTTGATGTTTCCTCCTTCCTTTTTCAACTTCCAGTGAGCTCTTGTGAGCTAGGAATTTAGGTGCTGAGGGTGGGGGGCAGGTGGAAAAAGACATTAGGA